AAGGGCATTTGCTGACAAGCTTAGTGACCTGAGTGAAATCCCCAGAACACATTTGGTGGAAGGAGAGAATGAGGAGATCAAGTTGTCCTCTGACCTCCATATGTGTGCTATAACATATGTACAACCCTCCTCTGTACCACACAAATAAATACATGTAATCCCCCCTATACACACACACAAAGCGCGCGCGCGGGGGGGGGGGGGGGGGCCCCGCGGGGATCAGGTGTGGTGATGCCAACCTATAATCCCAGCAATTGGGAGGCAGAGATCTCTGAGTTTAAGGCCAGCCTGGTCTACAGAGAGTGTTCCAGGAAAGCCAGGGCTACTTAGTGAGACCCTGCCTCAAAATAAAAATAAGTAAACTGTTTTCTAAAATAAGGTATAATTGCCCTGGAACATATAAACAAAATAACTCATACTATGATATCTATATAAGCTTTAGAGGTTGAGTTTTGTTTTTTTAAATTTAATTATTTGTATGAGTGTTCTGCTTGCATAATGTGTAGTGTGTGTGTGTGTGTGCGCGCGCGCGCGCCTGCCTGGTGGTCACAGGGGTCAAATCTTCTAGAACTAGAGTTATGAATGGTTGTGAACTACCAATTAAGTACTGGGAATTTAATCTCACTCCCATTTAAGAACAAAAAGTGTTTTCCCCCCTAATAATTTATTTTTATGTGCATTGGTGTTTTGCCTGCATGAATGTGTGTCTGAGAGTGTCAGATCTCAGAATTACACAGTTGTGAGATGCCATGTGGGTGCTGGGAATTGAACCCAGGTCCTCTAGAAGAGCAGTCAGTGCTCTTAACTACTGAGCCATCTCTCCAGCCCCTAGAGCCTGACTTCTTTAGCATATATCATTCAATAAACAAGCAAGTTTCTTTTTTTTTCCCCTCAGTGTCTAAGGATTAAACTAAGGCCTCAATAATATAATAATTCCCCCACTGAGTGACATCCCCAGCACCCCCTAATGAGTTGTTATAGGACAAACAGAGAAGCAAAAGCCACCTAAGGAACACCGCCCACCCACCCCACCCCACCCCCCGCACATGTGTGCGCACGGCTGTAAAGCTCAAAGACAAGATAATCCTTTAGTAAATGAGTATACATTTCTTTCCTTTTCTGAGACAGGGTATCATGTAGCCCAGGCTGGCCTTGAACTCCTCCTAGTCCTCTTGCTACTGCCTCTCAAGAGCTGCGATTACAGGAATGTACCCCCACACCTGGCTGTACATTCCTTTTAAAAATAAAAAAGGCCCAAAGAAGTATCAGTACTTTTTAAGGATTTTTTTAAAGTGTGTGTGTGTGTGTGTGTGTGTGTGTGTGTGTGTGTGTGTGTGTCTGTGTCTGTGTCTAGGTATATTCACGTAAACTTGGGTGTCTGAGGCCAAAGTATCACATGCCCAGGAGTGTGGTGATATTTTGTATATGCTCTGACAAATAAAGCTTGTTTGAAGATCAGAAGGCAGAGCCAGCCACAGAATTAGCTATAGAGGTTAGGCAGTGGTGGCACACGCCTTTAATCCCAACACTAGAAAGGCTGAGACAGGAAGTGATTTGATAGGACAGAGAAAGGATTATAAGGCGAGTAGAGACAGGACTCAGAGGCATTCAGCCTGCGGATTCATGGAGACAGGATCTCCCCCTTTCTGCTGAGTAGTTTGTGAGGTGAGAAGTGGCTGTGGCTTGTTTCCTCTATCTTTCAGCATTTATTCTGATATCTGGCTCTGGGTTTTTATTATAAGACCAATTAGGATTCGTGCCACACAGGAGCTGGGGTTACAGGTGGCTGTAGCCACCCAACATGGGTGCTGGGAACTGATTAGTAAACACTTTTAACCACTGAGCCATCTCTCCAGGTATCAGTATTATAATACCACAAAACTCAGGCACAAATAATAAACAGTAGGTTATATGTAAACATTATATAACCCTTAATGTGAAAAGGAGAGAGAAACTGAATAAAAAAGTGAACTCCAGGAAAGAGAATTTTATCTACATCTTCTATTGTTGAATCCAGGAATATATACAAATCCTCAGAAAATTTCTAAATCCAGAGCTCCTAAACCAAGAATTCAGATTTCCAATTAACTGGAGATCAAGAACCCAATTAATACTTTGGTTTTTATAACTTCACAGAAAGACCATATGCCTCAATCTTCTCCAGAAAGACCAAATTCATACGTGTGGTCTCAGCTTAATTACTGAAAGCAGCTCATGTGAATTTATCTCATCAGCGTTCACTTCCATCAGACCTTAGTGGAATCTGGAACTCACATTTCAAAAATGTTTTACCTCCAGCATCCTTAACTGCACAATTTCCTTTCAAGAGCAAGTCTACCTATGCACTCCTCTGCTTGTCCTTAGTAAACCCATCTGTTGCCTTCAATATGAACTCTAAATCTCCAATCAAACTGTGCAGTCACTCTTGCCTCACAATGTGGAGCTAAACGCGCCATTTCAATCATGACTTAACATTATCCTACATCACCACCCAAGACTTCACTGATCTCCGGCACTGGATAGTTCCCACTGGTTAAATACACCATGCCGACCAGGGCACCATGCAGTGCAGATACTCATTCTGCTTCAATCTCCACAGCTAACCTCCTCCTTACAGCACAGAAGGGCACAAGTTGTATTTTGGGTTTAATCAGATACCAGCTATGAATTCAGGTCTGCTTTTCATGAACAGGTGACCTAAATTAAATGTTACTTATTCTTTCTGTGACTGTAAAACAAAGACAGAAACATAGCTATGTAAAACTGGCTATTTAGAAATAATTGAACAAAGTACCAATTCTACTATTAGCAGACAAAAATTTCCATACTTCATCAATTCTAAGGCTCTTATTTTCATACCTCTTGAGTCGAGATGTGTTTTACAAGATCACAGTAAGTGGCAGCAGAAGCAAGGACAAAAAACTTGTAGCTTATCTTTATACAAATTTTACTATGAAAACCTTGTGTTGTTAAGCATAGCATTTATCTGTAATCCAAACACTTGAGGCAGGAGGATCATGAGCTCAAGGTCATCCTCTACTGTATGGCATGACTCTTCCTTAAAAAAAAAAAAAAAAAAAAAAAAAAAAAAAAAAAACCAAACCAAAAAGGAGTTTCTAAATGTTAAAAATCCACCAGGCTAGGATTTAATTTAATTAGTGAGGATCTCTAAGTCTTAGAACCCTGTTATCTTTGCACCCTACAGTAACCACTGGTGAAACAAGTCCAGCAGAATGGTTCACAGTCACAGTGTCAGCTGTGTGACCTCACCCATGACACAGTAAGTCAGTTCTATTTTTAAACTGTGATGGATGCTCTGGACTAGTGACAAACTGCTACTTCTCGCACTGAAGGGTAGAAATCTGAATGCCCCTTTCACTATTCTACTAAGACCATAGTCAACTGTTCTGCTTCCACCTTCACACTTGGTCAGCTCATTTATGGTTTTGGTTTTCATGAGAAGAATGTATCTACCACAGAATACACACTAGTTCCACACACTGAATTCAGATTGTCACCAACCACTCTGAGCTGTTGAAGCAGATGAAGCGGCTGACGAGGGTTTCACAGTAAGGGCTCAGCTGAGTGATCCCTAGTACTGTAAGAACACCAGGTGGCTCTGGAAGAGGAGCAAGAGATTGTAGCTTTGGTAAGCAGATGATCCAGACACATTTAGAAAATCCTAAGTGAGGTATTTTGTTTTTAATTCTAATACATTTATAAAATAAAAACAGTGTGCTTGGTTAGATACTACGGCACTGGAAAACGGCCTGTAAACCTTTCTGTTTACTCTCAGTGTCTATGATTACCCTGCAGTAAGCCAACTCTCAAGAGCTAATGTATAACACCAAGTAAAAAGTTCACAGGGAGCTGGAGAGATGACTGGGTAGTGAAGAGCGCTTGCTGCTCTTCCAGAGGACCTGGGTTTAACTTCCTGCAGACACACTAGGGTTCATAACTATCTATAACTTCAGTTCCAGGCGACCCGATGCCCTCTGCAGACACCAGGCACACATGATGTACAGACATGCATGCAAACAAAACACCTATTCACATTAAATAAATTTTTAAAAAAGCTCATCAGTGATGCTAGATGTGGTGAGTGCCTTTGATCCCCAACACTTAGGATGCAGAAGCAATGATCTTAGAGTAGAGTCCAGCAAATTCCAGGGCTTATTACTAAAAACAAAGGTGGGGTGGGTGGGGGAACAGGACCTGGAGAGATGGCTCAGTTGGTCAAGTGCTTACTGTACAAGAATGGCAATCTAAGCTCAGATCATCAGTGCCCACATAAAAGCTGGGGTGTGGTGGCTCATATCTATCATCCCAGGAAGGAAAGGTGGGAACTGGTAGAGACAAGAATACCTCACGGCCTTGCCAGCCAGCCAATCAAGCCAAAAAGGTGAGTCTCGAGTTCAGTGAAAGACCCCGTGTCTCAAGAAAGAAAGTGGAGATGGGATGAGGACAATACTAACAGTGACCTCTAGCCTCCACTCCTGTGTGCATACAGGCTTTCACAATCCCTGCTGCTATGTGCACATAAATGCATACACACACAAAAAATAAAGAAAATGAATGAAAACATGAAATGAAAAAAATGAAGTAAAATAAACCCATCTAGATTTTATTTTTGACGACTCAGAAGTCCAACTGGGATCACGTCTAATATGTAAATAACGATGACTCCTTCTGGAATGACACACCCCCGTTTTAGAAACAGTGAGACTGAGACTGACAATCCCAGCACTAATCATACATTAGCAGGCTAAGGCAGGAGGACTGCTTAAAGTTAAAGCCCGTTTGCACCACACAATCAGACCCTATGTCAAATAAAGCAGAAAGTCAAGCTCCTTTAGCACAATGTGCAGGAACCGCCACTTCACCTTCCTTCTAGATGCTAAGGTGCTGTACTTGTAGCCATCAGTTTAAATGAGAACAGGAAAGCATGAAAATCATTTGGAAACCCACAACATCTGCCTTCACAAGTAAATAACCTACTTTTATTAAGTACCACTTTTTAAAATCACTAGTAAAATTGTACTTAATAATTGTGAGTTCTGGGCCATCCTGGGCTATATAGCCATTAAAAAAATAATAACAATAAATAATAACAATAATAATACCACCACTGTTTGTCTGTTTGTTTGTTTGTTTGGTTGGTTGGTTGGTTTTTCGAGACAGGGTTTCTCTGTGTTGCTTTGCGCCTTCCCCGGAACTCGCTTTGGAGACCAGGCTGGCCTTGAACTCACAGAGATCCGCCTGGCTCTGCCTCCGAGTGCTGGGATTAAAGGCATGTGCCACCACCACCTTTTAAACTCCTTTTGATACATATCAAAAATATACAAAATTATATCTAGAAAGTATATTTCTAGAGTTATACAGTATATTTCTAGAACTCTCAAGTATTTTCTTTGTATCAAGATCACCAATCCAGCAGTGGTGGCTCACTCAGGCCTTTAAACCCAACACTCAGGGAGGGAGGCAGACCTCAGTGAGTTTGAGGCCAGCCTGGTCTACAGAGCGAGTTCTAGGACAGACAGAACTACACAGAGGAACCCATCTCAAAAAACCAAAAATCACGTAGGGGCCTATTTTAAATGAAGGTGGAGGGGCTGGAGAGATGGCTTCATCCTGCCTGTAACTCTGGTCCCCAGGAATACAATGCCTTCTTCTGACCATAAGCACTGCGTGAATATGGTACACATACACACACGCAGACAAAACACTGATACACATAACATAAAAATCTAAAACAGCCGCAGCCCACCAAGTGTTGGATTAAGACATTCACCACCACACCCGGCTGGCATTTGATTGCGGGTTCTCACTGAGGATTAAAACTCAGGTTCCCGTGCTGGCTGGAAAGCACTTCACCAACTCTGCCATCGCTCCAGCCCTACTTTTAGTCTAAGAGAGTTTTCTGCATCCAAGGTGATGGGATCACAGCTGTGTGCCACCACATCCACCTCAAATTTTTAGCAAGGGTGGCATGATCACTCATCAACAGAGGAGAGGAAAGCCAAGTGTTCAGAAGGCAGAGGCAGAGGATCACGAGTTAAAAGCAGCCTGGATAGACTGTCTCTCAATAAACAAGCAAATAAAATTAAAGGGGTGGAAGATTAAAAAAAAAAAAAAACTAAAACAAAGGAGGGCTGAAGAGATGGTTCATGGTCAAAAGCATGTACTAATCCGGTAGAGGCCCCAAGTTCAGTTGCCTAAATGCATGTGGCTCAGAACCGCCTGTATGTAACTCCAGCTCCAGGGGGATCCAACACTTCTGGCCTCTGAAGGCACCTGCACTCATGTGTACGTCACGCACAATCAATGACACACCTGCACACAAACACCAGGTGCTATTTAAGAACTCAAAAACTTGACAACAACCAATCTACTTTACAGCATGCTGTTTATCATGAGTATTTAAAGCACTTTGGGCGGGGAGGGGGTAGAGAGGCGGCTCATCAGTTACATACACTTCCTGATGTGGGTTTGGTTCCCAGAACCCATATGGTCACTCAAACCATCAGTAACTCCAGTTCTAGATCTGATGCCCCCTTCTAGCTTCTGTAGACACCAGACACACATGTAGTACACATATTCACTCATATCCAGGCAAAACATTCATGCAAATAAATAAAAATTTTACATCTTTTAAAAATAAAAATCCTCTAATATTCATTTAAAATGAGTAAATTGGTACTTCAGTGCTCACTTTAGGGCTAGCAAGATGATTCAGCAGGTAAGGCACTTTGCTCTCAGGTCTGACCATCTGAGTTCAATTCCTGCACTCATATTAGGTAGAAAAAGTAACCGACTCCATTTGAGTTCAACCCCTGGACTCCTATTCAGTAGAAAGAGAGAACGGACTCCTTCAAGTTGTCCTGACTTCCACACATGCACCATGGCACATGTGCACTCACACACAAGCAACCACAATAAATAAATGTGATTTTTAAAATTGGGTGATACAACCCACTTAAGATTCAAAAACAGTATAAACAATATGGAAGTGTAGAGTGTTCAGGATTTCTCATGTTAAGAAATGAAGTGAAGCCTGTAGGAGGTGATACACGCCTTGTGCCTTTAATCCCAGCACTTGGGAGGCAGAAGCAGTGGATCTATGAGTTAGAGGCCAGCCTGGGCTACAGAGTGAGCTCCAGGACAGCCAGGGGTACACAGAGAAATCCTTTCTTTAAAAAAAAGAAAGAAACGGGGCTGGAGAGATGGCTCGGTGGTTAAGAGCACCGACTGCTCTTCCAGAGGTCCTGAGTTCAATTCCCAGCAACCACATGGTGGTTCACAACCACTTGTAATGAGATCTGGTGTCCTCTTCTAGCCTGCAGGCACACATGCAGACAGAATACTGTATACACAATATATAAATAAATCTTTTCAAAAAGAAATGGAAGAAGGAAGGAAGGAAGGAAGGAAGGAAGGAAGGAAGGAAGGAAGGAAGGAAGGAAGGAAGGAAGGAAGGAAGGAAGGGAGGGAGGGAGGGAGAAATAGCTGAAAGGCAGCTCAATGGATAAGCATGAAGACTGGAGTTCAGATCCTCAGCATCCACATTAAAAACAAAACAAAAAAACAGCTGGGGGGTCTGGAGAGATGACTCAGAAGTGCGCGTGCTGACTTGCTGTTCCTCCAGGATCAAATTTGGTTCCCTTGTCAGGCAACTCCAAACAACCTGTAACTCTAGCTCCAGAGGGTCCAAGTCTCTCTTCTAGCCTCTATGGGCACTCACATACATGTGCATATGCTCAAACAGATGCAGACACAGACACAGACATACACACAGACACATAGACACACACACACACACACACACACACACACACACACACACACACAACAAAGTTGGGCATGGCAGTCCACACCTATAATCGCAGAGATTGGAAGACTAGGATGGGCTAGAAGAGTGTCACTAACCTGGCAATCCTGCTATTTGGTGACCCCATGTTCAGTGAGAAATCATGTCTCAAAGAAAAGGAGAGGGAGAGAGGGGTGATAGAGAAAGACACCGACACTGACTCCTGGCCTCTATATACAGATATACATATATAGACATACAGGTATACACATACCACCATACAACACTTACAGTCACAGGTTTCTATGACTAATGGTAAACACCATGACCAAAAGCATCTTGGGGATGAAAGGGTTTATTTCATCTTACATTTTACAGTCTATCATCAAGGAAAGTCAGGGCAAGAACAAGATAAGGACCTGGAGACGGAAACTGAAGCAGAGACCACAAGGGAGCTACCGGCTTGCTCTCCA